TGGATTTGGGGTGAGGGGAGGGGTAGAGTCCCAGGCCATCACACATGCCAAGAGCTTGAAATCTGGTGGATGGGCAGAGCTCTAGATGAGCACAGCACCCCACTGGAAGACTGAGCTGGGGAGCCCATGCACTTCCAGGTGCAGGGAGTATGGATTGTTCAGGGAAGCAGGTAAGGGGATGTGTGGGAAGGAGTATGTTGCAAGTGAGGAATAACTTCTGAGGGACTTCCATCAAATAGGCCACTGTAGTTGCAGGTAAGTGAGGTGGCTGAGACAGAGTGATTTAGATAGGGTAAACTGGAAAACCTTTATGGGTCAGACCAATGCACCTGCAACGTGGGAGACCTGAGATGGACTCAGTAGCATGGATCACAATGCACACTAAAGTGACTCGTAGATCACAGAACAGCATGATTTTACACAAGAAGCTTTTGTGTTTTCTTTTTCATTCCTTCATTAAGAAGTTGGTTATTCAGTAGCATGCTGTTTAACTCCATGGTGCTGTATTTTTTTTTTTCTTTTAACTTCATTTCTGTTGTTGAAATTGTTTCATGGCTTCTCGTTTGACTGAAAGTATAATGATGGCATAATAGAGGCTATCATATCCAGATGTGAAGATACAATGCAGTGTTTATCTCTACTTCCAAATCAAAGATGGATTCCAGATGACACTGTTGAATGTATCTTCATAATAGGATGCTGGACTATCTAGCATTGTCTGCACCAGCAATGTCAGGACACACTTAGATAGCAGACTGATGGACATATGACTGCTTATGAAGGACTATACTATTGTAATAATATGGGGAAAATCAGTTAGGGGTTGGGAATTTTGGGAGGGATAGGGAAATCCCAGACAGCATGCAATTGTACTATAAAATTTTTAAAATAATAAAGTCAGGGTTGGGTGCCAGCCTGGCAGGGCTAGATCACAGTACCCACCAGTGAATGCCATGACAGCGAATGGGTAATGTTAGGCATGGCCATGACACTAATCAGCACGCAAGAGAACCAGCTCGGGGGGAAGATTTTGTAGGGGAAATGTAGACTCACCTCTGTGGAACTGCAAAATTTGCCATTTTTTTCAAGAGCTAGGGGTAGTGACAGACTGAGCTAGACATGGCCATGAAAAGCAGAGCTGGGGACAGATCTGGCTAGACAGGCAGTAGTACCCATCAGCATGTAGGCTGCATAGTGGGTCAGTTGGGCTGAACTAGACTGCAGCATTATTGGTGTGTATAAAAACCAAATGGGATTCTGAATATGCCAGGCCAATCTACTGTACTTTCTGGCATACAGAGAAACCAGGGCTGGAGATAAGTCTGATGGGGTCTTGAGGGTTGCTCTGACTGCAGTGCCCACTGATGTACATGAGGGCTGAATGTGTGGCAGTCAGGGATGGGCTCAATTGCAGTATCCATTGGTTTGTGTAAGAGATGGAGCTGAAGACAGAACAGATCTAACATGTATGTAGGCTGACGTAGGTGACAGAGTGTGCTGAACCCTGTAAAAATTATACCATTTGCAAGAAAATAATTCCAACTGGAAACCATTATGCTCAGTGAAGTAATCCAATCCTAAAATGGAAAATATCACATGTTCTTTCTAATTTAAGGCAACATATATGCAAGATACAAGATAAATAAATATATAGGTGAACCAGTATATACATATGTTCCTAAGCAAGCAAGCAAGCAAGCACATAGACTAAATATTTTACACAGACATGCAATATTAAAAAAAATTTACTTTCCATACATTTTACGAAATTAATCTAGCATGAAGTTTGGGAAGGAGGGAAGGTGAAGCACAGAGGGCAGATTCCAGGAAATAAGAGAGGACAGGCCAATGGCAGAAGGGTACCTGGACACCCTTAAACAGGGAAGCAGTGGAGATAACAGAGCAGCGTTGCATGACCAGATAACCCAGCAGTGATTGGCAAGCGGCCATCTGAGTTCCACCAGTAGTCAGAGCTCCAGTGGCAGCCAGATGGGAAAGGGAGTTCACTGGGAACTCAGGAAGTAAATATAGGCAAAGATCTACCTATCCTGCTGATTTATTTGGTTCGACCATGAGCAGAGACAGAGTAGCAGACTCCAAGGGTCGGTATAGAAACAGGGTGCATTTTATAACCAAAGTCTCCACCAGTGCCAAATCTGGTGCCATTTTGTATAGTGGGGCAAAGGCTGTGGGACTGGAGTGACAGCTTGGGGCAGGCTCATTTCTGTCCCAGTACATTGCACTGATCCCACAGGGAAAGCAGTGCTGACTGCATCATGCAGGTTTCACTCAAGATTTATCTGGGTTACTCCCAGATAATGACCACCAGACCCAAACCTCCACCAGTGACACATCAGGTGCCATTTTGTGTAGTGTGGCAAAGACTGTGGGACTGCAGGGACAACAGTAAGCTGTGCACGTGCTAGGCTAGCAGCAAAATCACTTCCAGCTCAGTGCATTGCATTGGTTCCCTAGGGAAAACAGTTCCAACGTGGCACCCTACAGGTTCCACCTACTTATCCACTTTATGTTACCCTATTGTAAACTACACTCACCCACTGTGCTATGGAATAAAATAAGCCAGGACTTCTATCTATGTTTTGGCACCACTTATTCAACCTCCTAGAATCTCATTCTGTCCAACCTTTTTAGCCTGTAGTAATCAATATTCTGACATCAGAATTACCTTTTTAAAAACTGTCACATTTAAAAGAAAGCATGCTTTATGTGTATTACTGTATCCAACTTGCTTTACTTACATAAGAATTTCTAGTTTAGTCCTTTTTTTCTGAAAATTTCCAGATTTGTTCCTTTTTATCCTTTGAATAATATTCCATTATGTATATTTTCTTTATGTTTTCATCCTCAATGGATACCTAGATTGCTTCCATATTGCCTTTGTGTATAGTGTTCTAGTAAATAAGGAACACAAGATCTCTCTTTCTTATATTAGTGTCATTTCCTATGGCTAAGAACCACAAACGGGGGACCAAAATTATATGACAGACCCATTTTCAGTTTTCTAAGGAACCTCTATAGTGTTATCATGTTGGCTATACTAACTTGCGTTTCTATGAACAGTGTGTAAAGGTTTCCTTTTTTTCACAGCCTTACCACATTTCTCGTCTTTTTGAAATAATCATTATAATCAGAGAATGCTATCTGATTGTCCATATATTTCTTTTTAATTTGTGAGAAGGAGGGAATATGAGGCAAGAACAACTTTCATTTGGTGCTGGTGAGAACGCAAAATGGTACATGAGAAACAGAATGAGAAGTAAACTGCGGTAGTTACTTACAAAACTAAACCCTAGAAGCCAGTGATCACACTTTGTGGTATGTATACTAGTGGAAAGAAAACTACATCCATATAAAAGCTTATTACAAGATCTTACATTACTGAATTCACAAGTTGGCAATTACCATGGTATCCTTCTGAAGGTTAGTAGATAAATAAATTATGGCATATTCAGATATTGTGCCAAGAAGAAATGAGATTTTGTGCAGGCATTTGACTCAGTGTTTAAGGTATAATTTGGGATGCCTACTTCCTTGTCAGAGTCCCTGGCTTTACTTCTGTTGACGTTTCTGCTACTGTACACCCTGGAAAGCAACAGGTAATGGCTCCAGTGCTTGGTTCCCTAGCGCTTCCGTGTGAAGCTTATATGGAATCGCCAGCTCCCAGTTTTGGCCTGGCATAGTTATAGCTGTTTTGGATATTTGGGTAGTGAGTTAACGAATGGGATATCTCTCTGTCTCCCTGGCCTTTCAAATAAATCAGTAACTTTTAAAAGAGTGTTGTATTTCATTGAAATAAATATTTTTAAAAAGTGAGTTTTAACGCCATGAGAAGACATAGAAGAAACTTCAATGCACATTATGAAGTGTATAAAACAAATCCAAAAAGGATACATATTCTATGATTCCAAAATATAACATTCTACAAAAGCAAAGTTATGGAGACAGCAAAAATCTCAGTAGTTGCCATGATAGCAGAGAAAGAGGGATAAATATACAGAACACAGAGGAGTTTTAGAGTAGCAAGCTATTCATTACAATACAACAATGATGAACACAAGCAATTATATATTTGTCAAAACCCATAGGATAAACAGCACCAAGAATACACCTTTAGATACACAATGGGCTTTGAGTGACTATGACATTTCTATGTAGCTCCTTGAGTTGTAACCAATAAACTAGTTGGAATGGGATGGCAGTAAGGGAGACAGAGAGAAGGGGGCTGCTGGGATCAGGCCAAAACCAGGAGCCTGGAATTCCATTCAGTTCAGTCTGGGTGGCAGGGGTCCAGGTTCTTGTGCTACCTTCCACTAATTGCACAGGAAAATTAAAGAGAGCTAAATCCAAATAGGAGGTAGGAGAGCAACCCAGTAGAAAGGGGGATGGGGGTAGGGTGGAGAATGGGTATGCTTGCAACTGAGTTTCAACAACAAATATACAAATGTATACATATCTTTGATTTGGAGTACTAAAGGAAAACAAAGGAGCAACCCACAGAACTAATTTTTGGCCTTGACACTGGTTCAAACTCATCTCTGTCACTAGCTAACTACAATGTGAACCTTAGGATTTCACAACCGAACCCAAGAAGATAAACTAGAAGTTAGTTACTTTAAGTGCTCAAGCTAACATCAGAAGCAGCATCTCAGAGTTTATTAACTATAAGGATCACAAGTACAGGTCTCTCCCCAAAACCTACAGCATCAGAATTTACATTTCCTAAGATTCAGATGATTCACACATACATTAAATGTTAAGCATCACTGAGCTAGGTGATGCCAAGTTCTGTTCCTGATGGGTCAGCCTAATGTATTGAAGAAAATATAACAGACTCCCGGAATTCGACAGACTTAACTCTTAATTATTTTTCTACTATATTATCTTTAATGTACTTGGCTTCTCTGAGCCTGTTTTATATCCATCAGATTAGCGATAATATTACATGTTCTATGAGGTTATTTTGACAAGTTATAACATACCTGCTATAATGCCCAACATGCACAGGAATAGATTGTATTTGAATTCTACTCCTTTACTCACACCTTCCTACAGAATCAGCTTTCTTTTGTTTCCATTTTCATCCACCGAGTTCACCCCTGCTACCGTTGTCCCTAACGTAAAAAGAAAATGTCCATAAAACACCAGATCTTGCCAAAATAGCATTCAAAAAACTTAAATGGCAACAACTGGAATTAACCCAGACTTGAATGTGCAAAGTGTTTTAGAAGTAAATATACTGGATTTTCTGCCACCAGTGTCAGTTCAGTTAAACACGATCAAACTAACATTTTTGTTTTGCAAATTATCAAATTGTTGTGTTTGGTTGAGGGCAAAATATATGTATCCCTGGAGTGTTGTTTCCAAGCAGGGTGATTGTTGACCCAATTACCTATTAAGTGTTATAGTCTTCCAAAGTAACTCTGAAGAAATCTATTTATTCTAAAGAGTTATTAAGGGAGAAAAATGTCTCCCAAGATATCTTTTTAAATACAGTTCCATTGTATTTTGAGGTGATATGTTTTGTCTTTTACTGAATATGCTATTATTCAAAAACTGCGCACTTATCTCTACACCCTTCATTTTGAATTCAACTACTCTGTGACTTTTCTGTAAATCTTTTATGAACAGGTCTCTGGTGGGTCCTCCTTAATTGGGTAAGGATTATCAGCAGAGAACACTGTCAAAACTCTACATTATTTCTTTTAAAAACTCATAGCACAAACTTTTCTAGGGATAAGGTGTCTGGATGCAGATAAAAACAAACCATGTTCTTATGCCCACAAATACTATTTGAACTTTGCTTGTCAAAATAAGAAGGGCTTTCAAGTGCTCCATTAGTAGTCATATTCTAGAACAGCTTTGTTTTTTAAAACTGAGTTATTTGTCTTAGGATTTTGACAAAACTGGTTGAAATAAAGTATACTAGGGATCTTTGCTGATAAAATATTCCTGTAGATATTCTTTCAGTACATAGACTTATAGAAGGTATCAAATTGAAGAGCCTCTGAAGAGTTTTCTTCTGTCATCTTGCAAATCTAGACAATAATTTTATTATCGAGTGTGAACAAAAAATATAAGCCCAAGCATACTTGTCATATAGACACTGCTTCCTGCTTCCCCCATCTCTCCTGAATTTTCTTATCCAGGCATGCTTAGGTTTATACCAGTCTTGTTAAAAATCTCCTCTTTTTTTTCATTGCTTCTCCATTCTCATAAGCAGTTTATTAATTTTTCCTCAATGGTCACATCACCAACTAAATCAGTGTTTCTTTGATTCTCCCTGTACACATTCTTGGATGGTATTCCTAGCAACTGTGGCTGGTACTGTATTTGTAAACAAAAGGTATTCCTAAACACTGTGTTAGATTTTAAAATAATACTAGAAGCAAATAAATTTTTATCTTTTCAATTGCAAATTTCTCATTGCTATGGTGCATCATGAGGGCCATTTTACAGTTTTTATGCAAAGTAAAGTAAAAGTTGTTTTATTTAAAATAAGGTATTATGTAAAACTGGAATCAAAATAAAGATGACATTAAAAATTAAAACTTAGGTGATACTGGAAAGCCAAATCAATTCTCTTATTAGCACTTACAAAAATTCTGCCACAGTTATATAAGGCACCCCAAGAACTGCATCATCAAGTTTTGTTTATCTACTATTTTCAACTTATCATTCTCTTTCCCTAAACCTTTTTACTCCATTGGGCATAATGGCCCTCTGTTTTTTAGGATATAAGGAAAATTCTTGCCAGCCTTAAGAATTTGTTTTTGGACTTGTATTATGAAAACTGGAAATAAACAATCATATTACCTCAAAATTGTGTTTTCATTCATATTATCTTCCATTTGAAATGTGTTTAAAGACGTATTTATATCTATTGTGTAGATTTTAGGAAAAAATCATTCCAGTATTTGCATATTCATGAAACTCATTTATCAAAGCACATCTGGGTTTTTCCTCAAGCCTGCTTCATTCAAAAACTTCTACTCAGTAGTTAATGGGGAAGACTTTTGCCGCCACTTATGCCACATGAGAGAAGTTTTCACCAGGGGAAGGGACAGGTGCCACTGCTCTAAACACAAATGTCTTTCCTTCCCCTTGAGATTCCTATCTGCTTTGGGAGAATGGCTCAAAGGGTCATTGATAGTTGAAAGAACTTACCTAGGCTACAAATGTTATATTTTCTCTTTCACCTGGGAGATTTTTTCATAAGCCAGCTCAGAACCTCTCTGCTTGGTATGCGATATAGAAATAACAGGATAAGTCTCTCACAAATTGAATTGAACTGACCATGGATTTGAAGTTACTGCCTTTCCCACTGAGTTAAAGCCAAATAGAGTTGCCACCCTGGGCCAGGCTTTGATCAGTAGCACAGTACTTTCCTCTTCCTGACTTAAATGCATCCAGTCCCAAGCACTGGTTTTATTTAATGTTCTTGTTCACTTCACTGGAAATGCTTTAACTCCAGCACCTGCTGGCTGTGAAAGTGATTAGGATTTCATGGAACCAGAGCATTTCATTTCTCGTAAGCCACACCATGGCCCATAAATTAATACAGGATTATGCTTCAGCATTTACTCTGCAGGCTTGTTTTGAACTAAAAAGAAAAGGCAATTGAAGGATGAAGAAAGAGAAGGAAATGATGAGATGAAAAGTGAACAGTTGTATAAAACCTGACAGTCTGTATTAACATAAGCACTTCCTTATGAGAAAACTTAAAAACTTATACCAGCACACCATTCTACTTTGTTAATGCTGATAAGCATAAATTCTTACCTGCAAAACTTGACTCATTCTATATGCAAAAATATTTTATCTTCCATCAAAAGGTATATCAATAAACCTAAGTCTCTCTGAAAGTTAGTTCAGCAATTAAGTTACTATCTGAGATGAGTTTTGCTTGTAGACATTATCATCAAGTGCCAGAAATATGAATCAAAATGTCTTGGGCCCTCCAGGACAATGCAAAGACAAGTGCCATCATGTGACCTCTGTCAGCATCAAGAAGATCAAAAAGAACAAGGAAATCATCCCTCTATCCTCTGTTTTAAGTCTCAGATCCCCAAATAAATATTGTTGTCAGCCAAATATGACCTGTGAGTCAAATCCAGCTAATCCCTTGAACTTTTTGTGGCCCATAAATGTAGAATAATTATGTTATGAAAGTATTGAAAATGAATAAAAATATCAGTAATATTTGCAACACAAGAAATCAATCAGAATTTCAATATTCAATGTGCATCAGTAAAGTGTTAAAACACAATCAAGCTTAATTCATTATGCAATGTGACACCTGCTTTTAGGTTCATTGACAGTGTGAAATAGTTGCAGATATTTCCATGATATATACTGCATAACTCTATAAACGTTTGTCAACTCCTATTTCAAACCATTGTGTTTTGGGTTGATTTTTAATATAACAGTTATACTTCAGTACAAATCCAAACTGAACACTAATTTTGCAAATGGAATGTTCTAACAAACACACTTAATACGATTATTTTTTTTAAAGATCTACTTATTTGAAAGGCAAGGTTACAGACACAAAGTCAGAGAGACAGAGACAGATCTTCCATTCATTGGTTCACTCCCAAAATTCTCTCAATGGTCAAGGAGACAGGAGATTCTTCCAGGTCTCCCCAGTGGGAACTAAGGGTTCAAGCAGTTAGGCCATCCTCTGCTGCTTTCCAAGGGACATTAGCAGGGAGCTGGATCAGAGGTGGAACAGTCAATATTCAAATTAGTGCCCATGTTGGATGCTGGCACCACAGGACAGACTTTAACCCACTACACCACAATGCTGACCCAATAGTTAACACTCTCAAGTAAAAGTTAACAACTGAAAAATTTTAATATAGAACTTGTCAATTTTTTTTCTTATTTGTTGTGTACCATATTGACCATTTGTTCTGATAGGAAACAGATGACTGTAGCTGGCTTTTAATTATTACTATAAGGCTGTTGCTGAAAGCAATCGTAAGTTAAAACATGCAAAGATCCTTTCCTTTTGGAATTTACAGACAAATGGAAAAGCTGGACAGCCATCAAATAATTTCAAAACACATTCTGTGGTAAATCTATATGTATGAAAAAATATGTACAATGTTCTGCTATTTATGCCATAAATTTGTGACTTATGTTATATTTCCTTGAATACATGATACATGAGCCAAAGTCCTAACCATAAGTAAGAAAGTACTAGGCAAAATCATGTTGGGGAATTCAGAAGATGAGAGAATTTTCTGATAGTATGGTATATTTAAGAAACTGCAAAGTTAGTGAGTCTAGACAAAAATGGTCTGAGATAAAGTGAGAGACATATCTAACTCATCATATTGGCTTCAATTTCTATCCTAAGGGTTGGAACAGTGGCATGGAGAAACAGACAGTGGGTTCCAGGCAATCTTATTCCTATTTTGAAAAATCATTTTGCTATATGGAAGAAAAAAATTGGTAGACAAGTTGAAAATGTTATACAAATGGAATACAAGAAGTGTTGGTGATAATATTTTCATGGAAATAGCAGTGCAATTTGAAATAATATTTCCCAACATAGAAACTTTCTCCACAATAGTAGAAGGGAAATAAAACATTCTTTATCATTGAATAAACCAAAATGTGAAGCATTTCTTATGCAGCCTGATAAGAAATTACAAAGATAAAAAATTGCAACTATTTATACACCCAAGTAGCTTTTCAATCCATTTAAAAGTATGCTTAACATAAACAATAACTTGGGCCTGGCACAGCAGCACGGTGGCTAAAGCACTCACCTTGCACAAACCAGGCTCCCATAGAGGTGCCAATTCATGTCCTGGTGGCCCCACTTCCCATACAGCTCTGTGCTTGTGGCCTGGGAAAGCAAAGCCTTGGCACCCTGCAGCCACCTGGGAGATTTGGAAGAAGCTCCAGGCTTTTGTCTTTGGATCATCTCAGCTCTGGCAGTTGCAGCCACTTGGGGAATGAATCAGTAGACGGAAGATCTTCCTCTCTGTCTCTCCTCCTCTTTGTATATCTGACTTTCCAATTAAATAAATAAATAAATCTTTTTTTTAAAAAAAAAAAAGGTAAAAAATTCCTCTTCAAGAAAGAGGAATTAACAGTATCA